TGCATAGATAAAATTGTCTTAATATGCAAATGCATAAAAATGCGACCAAAATGTAAAAACCTCACCTGTAAATGTAAAAACCTCACATTATGGCCAGTTGTATCAGCTAAACAGTAAACCAGAAGTTAAAATAATTTCTGTATGTGGGCGTAATTACACTTATATTAAAGGGACCAAAACAACTTTAGCATAATGAAGCAGTTTTGGTGCATAGATCATGCCACTGAAGCCTCACTGCTCAATTATCTGCCAATTAGGAGTTAAATTACTTTGTTTATACAGTCCTAGGCACACCTCCCTGCATGTGACTGCACATCCTTCCTAAACATGTCCTGTAAAGAATCATCTAATGTTTATACTTCCTTTATTGAACATTCTGTTTAATTTAGAGTTTCTTATCTCTTGCTCTGTTAATAGCTTGCTAGATAGTGCAGGAGCCTCCTTGATATAATTAAAGTTCAATTTACAGAGCAGGAAATAAAAAAGTTTAAAGTAAGTAACATCTGATTAAAAAATTAAACCATTTTGCTTGTGTTAGTCACAGCGAGAGGAGTTGTGGCTAGAGCTACATAAACAGAAACTAAAGTGATTTAACTCCTAAATGGCAGTGAATTGAGCAGTGAATCTTCATGGACATGATCTTTACACGAAAACTACCTAATTAAGCTAAAGTTGTTTCAGTGACTATAGTGTCTCTTTAAAGGACCACTATAGTGCCAGGAAAACATACTCGTTTTCCTGGCACTACAGTGCCCTGGGGGTGCCCCCACCCTCAGGGTCCCCCTCCCGCCTGGCTCTGGAAGGGAGAAAGGGGTAAAAACGTACCTTTTTCCAGCGCTGGGCAGGGAGCTCTCCTCCTCCGATCCTCCTCCGATCCTCCTTCTCTCCTCCCCGTCGGCTGAATGCGCACGCGCGGCAAGAGCTGCGTGCGCATTCAGCCGGTCGCATAGGAAAGCATTATCAATGCTTTCCTATGGACGCTGGCGTGCTCTCACTGTGAAAATCACAGTGAGAAGCACGCAAGCGCCTCTAGCGGCTGTCAATGAGACAGCCGCTAGAGGGAATGGGGAAAGGCTTAACCCATTCATAAACATAGCAGTTTCTCTGAAACTGCTCTGTTTATTAAAAAATGGGTTAACCCTAGCTGGACCTGGCACCCAGACCACTTCATTAAGCTGAAGTGGTCTGGGTGCCTAGAGTGGTCCTTTAAGTATATTTTTTTATAAAATATCTGTACTATACAGATAACTGTAGTTAGCCTGAATAGTGTGCTCAGATCCCTGTGATATCCTGCTTGCTAGAATTATGCTGTTTGACTTAGAAACAATGCTATAGTGTAGGAAAGGGTAAGGTTGAAGGGGACACTAACATTCCATCAGTGGTAATGTGGGGGTACAGTTAGAAACACCAGCAGGGGTTGTTTTTATCTGAAGGGGAAGAGCCAGCACTTAAGCAAGGATTAATGGGCTTTGTAGGTTAAATTCATATTTAGTAACTGAGGCAGAATATCATGTCAGACAAGTCTCTGGGTACCATTTGAAGGATGCATGACATAGAGGAGGCTTGGCCTCCTCTGACGATTGCCAATTCAATGCTGATAGATAAGCACTGGGGACCAAACTTCCCCATGCTTTTGTCTGAGCTTCACTTGACCAAATTTTACTCACTCACAGTGGCTAGACAACAGCCACTAGAGGTGGATTTAATATTTTCATTGTTAAAATGACAGGGACACTGCACCCAGACTACTTAATTGAGATGAAGTGGTCTGAATGACTTTAGTTCCCCTTGAATATATTTATTTTGATTGTTTTATATAACTCATACTGGAAAACCCACATTGATTCTACAAGGTCCATATCTCCAGTCCTATTCTCCTGAGTCAGGGCCAGCCCAAGACATAGTGCTGCCTGGGTCTAAGGATGAAATGTTGTCCATCCCACCCCCCCAGCCCCCCCCCGCCTGCACCAAAAGCTCGCCAACATCCATTATGTTATGCAGTGTGTGTAGTAAATGCAATGCGTTTTGTGTGGGGGATGTAGTGTGTGTAGTGAATGCATTATGTGTGTGTGTGTGTGTGTGTGTGTGTGTGTGTATAGTGGATGCAGAGTGGGTGTGTGGTGGAAGCAGTGTCTGTGTGTCGTGGATTCTGTGTCTGTTTTTCTGCAATGGATGTAGTGTGTATTGTATGCGGTGTGTGTATTTAATACATTGTCTGTGTTTGTGTAGTGGATGCAATGTCTGTATAGTATATGCCGGGTGTGTGTGGTGGACATAGTGTGTCTGGTGGATTCAGTTGTCTCTCTATGCAGTAGTGTCTGTGTAGTGCATGTAGTGTTGGATAAATGGGGGGTGAGAAGTTTAAATGAAATGGGGCATATCCCCTCCTCCCTGCCTCCTACCTGTGGACTGGAAGGAGGGGGGGAAGGGGGCAGTGTGTAGGAAAGTGAAAGTGTGTTTGTCATATCACATGCGGTTAACTATATCAAAGCTTATTAAAGGAACACTATAGTGTTGAATACAAACATGAAATTCTAGTGCTTTTGACATCACAAATGGGACTGATTTTGCTTTGTATGGGATGGGGAATGGATAACATTTCTCTGCAACATCTGAATGTGACTATCAAGGATAATCGGATTAGAGCAGTTAAAAGTACAGTGTCCATTACACAGCACATATGCTCACAGGAAGAGAATATAAGAAAGGCCTACAGCATGTCGATTTTTAGTTGGTGAGTTTTGTGTTTGACTTGCTCTGCTTGTTACGTGATAAAAAGTGACAGGCTGCATCTTATCTCATTGGTTGGTGACTTTAATAAAACAGGGCAATCGTGGAATAGATAAGGACAGAATGCAGTGAATTTGATAGCAATGGAAACTGATGGAATACTATTATCTCTGTGAATGTGTCTGTTTCTCTAGCCCCCACTTTCTCTACAAAGGAGTATGCTTGATGACTTTAAAAATGTTTATCAGATACTGCATACCTCTCACTTCTGGGTACATAAAATTAATTCCAAGCCCTTCCAACAGTCATCTGGGATAAAAGGTCAACAAGCTTGCTCAAACAATGTAGCACGTTGTCAGATATCTGATGGTAATGATAGTGTATGCGCATTTTGCAAGCCGTTAGATTTTTTTTTTTTCTTCTTCTATAAGCATTTACGCTGCAAGGAATTAAAAATTCAAAAAAAAAAAAAAAAAATTCAAAGTGCAATATGATGTTTGTTCCTGTGCTCGAGTCTGTAAAACATTCCATATTGCAATGTAAAATGTTAATAATTTATTATTGCTCTGTTTAACACTCAAGCTTGTATAAGCTTATTTTAGAGGCTAAATGAGTATGTTTGGAGACAGCATGGCAGCAAGTTATATATGCCGTGTGTAGCCATAGCAGCTAATTATTACTGTGAGCAAACTGGATAGCATGTATTGGTACCCGGGGGAAACTCAATATGCACTAGCTTCCCAGGATTCCATATTTTAGACCCGAGTCACATTATTCCAGGTTCTTTGTATTTTGTCACATTTCACCAGAGAAAGATAAATGTAACACAAAATGTCCAAAAAGGCAAATACGTTATAAAACATGCTTGCGCCTGTATATGTGAATGACACGTTCTAAGGCACAAAAAATAACAGATTTGCAAAGCATATAAAATATGTGAGCTAACTAGATTTTTACAATGAGTGTTAGGGATAAATGAAAACTGAGGTCTTTGTGTGGGGTGGATGTGATTACTCTAGTATTGCATGTAACAATGGTAGAATATCAAATTTAGGTAAACTAGCTCAATTACACAGAAAGGCTTGAAGATGATAAATATAGCAAATCCATTTTTGTCAGAACATTTCTGGTTAATAGTTCATTAATATCTGTTTCTGGAGAAACATTTTTTTTTTTTTTATATACCAAGCAAATATAAGGTAGAGTGAGAGTTTCTAACATTTTCTTCCACCAGAGTTGGTGTAGTCAATCATTTTTAGTTTCTCAAAGTTAAATAAGTGTGATTCAGATTATTAATTAGAATGCTTTGTTTCCCCTTAAATATTAAATTGTATGACTTTTCCCCCCATAATGAAAACATATAGCTTGCCTTTATAGAGTCACTGATTCCCCTACTATCTGTGAATTGCTTCTTCAGTAACTTTTGGCAAACAATGCAATATTAGACATGGAAGATCCAAATTAAAATTACTTTATTTAGGCGTATTCCTTTTCAGAGTTTGGCCATTGCAACTGTATATCATGATCTTTTGAACTTTAAGAAATATTTTAGTTTTACTGAATTTTGTACAAACACTCATGACTAAATGAATATTAAATATTTGAGAGTAGTTTCTCATAAAATATATTGAGGTGCTTCCTTTGCTTGTATGTTTTTACATTTTACTGTATCCCTGTTATTTTAAAACTGTAATAATTGTTATAGTATATGTTATATTATATTGTTTCCAAATGTATTAGTACATATGTTCTATAATGATTGTGTGTGCATCACAAAGCAGCAACAAGCCAATATGCTTAATAAGTTGGTGGAGAGGAATGGATTTAATATATAGGTTACATTTTAGAACTGAAGTATGATAAAAGTAAAAGACAAAACACTAATAATAATATTAATAAAACAATAATACACTGCTATATTACAAATCATAGGACACATTTAAATGGTTACTTAAATGCCAAGCACCATGGCACTTTAGGATTTTGTTGCCTGTATGTGAGTATTTCACAATGAAATGCTTGCACATATAGAGTTTAACGCTTCTGCTACAAGTGTAACTCCACTTCTGGCAACTTCATTGGGGTGTCATATGCCTGCCTTGAACAAGATTTACAGATGACTAAATTTAATTTTGTGTATATTGTACTTCTGACATTAACACGCACAGCACGCTGGCATCAGGTGTACAATAAATGTATAAAACAAGATATGATGTCCAAACGTTATCTGAAGATACAGTAACAACGAATCTATGATAAAGTTGAAAAAAAAATATACCAGCAGATAAAATATAGTCTTTGGATGAAAGGTAATAATTGAAGATGGATTACCTTTTGTCCAAAGACTGTATTTTATCTACTGGTAATTTTTTGGGCACTACCTGTTCCTTTGTTTACTTGTCTAGTTCTCATTTAGGGTTAGAGGGAATCCCCTATCTCAGGTGTGCTTCCTCCTATATATTAATTTGTTTAGTTGTTTAGCGATGCTCCTACCTCGTGTTTGTTTTGTATCAGGTGTACAATGGCTGCACAGCTATTTCCTTCCCTCAGTCCACCTTCTAGTGAAAATGAGTGACATGAGCAATGGACAATTAGACCGAGAAACAACTTGAGCCTTTAAGAACCAACTTGGATGACAGCAGACCTCAAAGGCAGTAATCCCAAATCTCACCTGGTTTTCCACACAAAATATACATAACATACTACATTCTCTTTTTTTGAATCCCTACTCACCATTGTATAAGCTCCTTTTGCCTTTCCTTTGAGCATCAATTCCTAATTCTATATGGGAATATAACGTTTGTTGTAAATCAAATGTTATATTCCAGTACATGACTTAATTGCAAAGGAAACTTGTGGAAATGTCAGCTGGGAAACTGATACAAAAGGATGTTATCTGTGCCTATTCTCAGATAATTTCATGAGTCACAAAATCACAAGCTTTGAGGTTTTGAGAAAGAAGCCCAAATGACTAAAGCACTTCTCCAAATGCCAGTGAAGACTTAGTGAAGGGGTAAAACAATAACACCTTATTGTGACAAGTGTAGCATATTTATAATAACATGTACCATTATAGTGAAAAATAGGTCCCCTCCCTTGCACCTCAGAGTCTGTGATATAACTCAATTTATGCAAAGGTTATTTTATTAACTCCCAGACAACAGGGCACCTTACAATATGAATCCTAAAACATAATGTTCCCCACAAGTACTCCAAATAAAAAACTTTCCAAAACAGCAATCAGATCATAGATATGTAGCTAGGGTAATCATCAAATGAAGTTCTAGCGGGACGTGGCTAATTTCCGATCCAGTGCAGAGGTCCAGCCTGTCAGTGAGCAGGGGCTGGTTACAAACATAAGGTTATTCCTTCTCCATGGAGTGGGGCTCCCCCTAGCTTTTAGTGGTTTGCACAAGCCCTCCGCCTCCTTTACCTTCCCTCCAATTAGCACCTTTCTTGGTGACCTGATGTAGCAACGATAGTCATGGCCACTGTTGGATCTTAGGCTGGGTGGGGGTTCCAGGTGGTTAGTGCATATCTCCCTCTGGTGTAGTTCTGTCTTTTCCTGGTAAAAATTAATGGCTCCCAGGGTTGTAAATTGTCCTTTTGTGACCCCATTTTGATTGCTTAAACCATCTTTTGTTTCTCTGAACGTCTAAGAATTGTTGCTCTCTGAATTTGATAATGATGTTAAGTATCAATTAACAAGACGCAAGTGCCTGAAACATTCCACCATCAGTAGGGCATCCCTATACATTCTATTAATTCCATGAGGTTGGTAATTTCCCCAATCTCAATCCATGAGGTACCCTCTTATTTTCTACATATTTTTTTAAGAGAGTTAACCTCCAGCAATATCGGTTTCTTTAATAAGTAATTTCTGTAACCAAAACAAATTAATTTTCATGCTCTCATCATCTTTTGTATTAATGTCCATCATTGAATTAAATATGCTTTAATACCTCATTCTGGCATAGTTCTTATGCCTCATCTGCGAGCTGCTATTGCCAGGGTAAATACAGGGGTACTGTTTTATCGTAATCTTATCACCAGTATAGTACTAACAATAGCTGTATAGGTACTATTTAAATCTTAGGATAAAGCAAATTCTTCAGCTTTTCTGTGACTGATGTGAAATGCGTCCAGAGAGAATGATGTTTAGTAATTAAAATCCAATGACTCTTAAGCTGTAACTTGCTGTAACTAAACAGCAGGATTAATAATAAAGCCATATATTAGTTCACTCTGTATCAATGTAGTTTGAGTCACATATGTTCAGCATGACAACAGAAAACTTCAAGCAGTGAATTAAAGGAACACTATGCTGATGGAAATACTAACCTGTATTCCTAACACTAGAATTAGATTTAGGGTTTCCCCTCGATGCACAATAAAAATGTGTATAACTCCAGTGCAGAAACTTCCTGGGTGCCCATTGTTTCCCCTCGATGCACAATAAAAATGTGTATAACGCGAGTGCTGAAACTTCCTGGCTGCCCATTGTTAATCGGCGTGCATGCGTCCAATCAAACGCTTCTAGTAGGAAAACATTGAATTCAATACTTTCCTGTGAACTGTGTTATAACTTTTGACATCCTCATGGATATCCTGAAAAACATTTTTGCATATTTATTTTAAATCATGTTTTTATTTAATCCATTAAGGAAAGTATGTTATGCCGAAACCTTGGAGGTAGGTGCAGTGACACTATGGTCTGCTCTCTGTTAGACTGTAGATATATTGTATGCTTTCATGTATTATCTATGCAAGTCTTTTCACTACGCAGCTTTTTATATTATGATATGAAATACAAGTGATTATATTGGTGACATAGATTGCTGTACATCCTTGTGATTTTGTAAGTCATGTTATTAGAACATGTAGTTTGTAAAATCTGCTTTATGATATATATGTTTAAAAATGTATAATTTATTTATAATTTAATACATATGGTTGTTTACAGAAGTCAGAAGTGCTGTTCTGTGTTTTATATATGCCAAGCTATAAGTAAAGAAGAAGGATAACAACTCGTTTGCAAGTACTTTGGATTTGTTTACATATATAAATATGGATATTGCAATAGCTTACTATATGTAAATTGATATTATCCATGTAATTCAATCAATCATGGGACTACTGCCCGGATCGCCTGTCCTTATAGTCTAGAGACCCTAACCCAGGGGTAGGCAACCTTTTAGCAGCACTGTGCCGAAATAGGATTGTGATGTTCCGTAGCGTGCCAGTTTTAAAAAGAAAATTCTTATTGAGGTGTGCATGTTGCCGTATTCTGCTTGTGTTATTTATACTGTAGTTGCTTTGTATATTGTATATGTTCACGAGTCGTTTGTGGTATCGTGTATGATACCTATGAATGTGGGCTGTGCATGGGAGCTGCTTGTAGAATTGTGTGTGTGGATGGATTTGTCACGTGTATTGGGTAGTGTGTGGATGTGAGGCGCAGTTTGGGGTATTGCATGTGCGAGGCTGCATGTGGGGTTGTGAGTGGTGTTGAGTTTGTGCGGATTGTGTGTTGTGTTTGTGTTTGTGTCTGTGCTGTTCGTATTATTTGTATGAGGGAAGGGTTATTCTGCATTTCTGTGTATATCTAGCAGTGTGGGTGGCTTCCCTGGGTTCCAGTGAGGACCAAGCTGGCCAGGTACATGTCAAGGACAGGAGCTGTGGGCTGCTCTACTCCAGTGTGGATTCCAATTCACAAAGTGCTGGGAGGAAGTGATCTTAGATCACTTCCTCTATGTGCTGCAATGCTTAAATTGAGGATTGCCCTTCACCACCTTTTTGTATTGGCAGATATCTAAAGTTTACCTGGGACTCCTGATAGGCCAGAGCCTGTTTGGCTCTAGCAGCCTTGAGTGCCGTGTAAAGACACCTCGAGTGCCGTGCATGGCATACATGCCGTAGGTTGCCTACCCCTGCCCTAAACCTTGTCAAAACAAGATTATATTGTTTATAGCCTTTAGCACCACTTTTATCTGTTAGAAAGGCTAAACTGCAATAATTAGCTTTGTGGGGTAACTCCACCCGTACTGGCCGTCTACCAGACAGCCACTGGAGGGACTTCCGGGCTCTTAGGCGTCTTTTGGTCACCTAACTGATGCTGGGTCCCAATGCGAATGTGACCATTGCCATGTATGTGCATTAGATCTCCCGCGCCAATATCAGGAGGAGCGGAAACAGACCCGAGCCAGTGCCGAGGGACATCCACTCTGGACCCAGGTCTGCACCACAGGGGGAAGGTGGGCACTATAGAGAGCTATAGTGCCAGTAAAGAAAAAAATTTTCCTGGCACTATAATTTTCCCTTAAGACTTAGCTTCTGATGTGGGAATAATAAAACTTGACATGCAAAATATTACTGATGGCTCCGAGCAACAGAGGAGAACACTGTGGACATTCAAAGCGACATGACCCATATGAAAGATACAATACAACAACTGCCCACTTTGCTCATTGCAAATGTCTGTCCATGAGGACCACTCCCACTGCAACCACAGTAAAATCTGAGGAATACTTTGTTTGCATTTTTTTGGTACCTGATCTCATGAAAAGCGCACACTTTTGGCATCTGCTTTGACAGCGCTGGAGAACAGCTACTCAATCATTAAAGTAACTTGGCAGCTACACACGAATACTATAGGTATTCAGACCAAATCAATGTTTTTTTTAATTATAAAATGAGGCAGTTTAACCTGTTTAATATTAGAACAACATGATTAACATAAAAAAAAATCTAAAAAAAATTTAAACAAACATGATCTTCACCCAGCGAGGGGTGTGCAGACTGAGCTCTGCAGGGTAGGGAAAGGCACTGCATGCACTGCAATTTGACTCAGAACGCTCTCATTGGTTGGCTACAGCCAACCAGTTAGAGTACTCTGACAGGTAAATCTTGACCGATTGGTTACTTGCAAAGCTACACATTTACCTGTCAGAGTGTTGTGAGTGGGAAGGCTTTATAAACCTTTTCCTGCCCTGCAGAGCTCACTCTGTGTGTGTAGAGTCTTCGTTGGGTTAAGATGAAATAATTTCTAGCGTCATGAGTTTTTCCTTTTTTTATTTGAAATATGTTTTTTCTTTTTTTCTTTTATTCATTTGACAAGCTTTATGGATTTGTATTTGTCCTTTTTTTGGGGGCTGAAAAATTAGGATTTTAGAAAAAGTAGACATCTAATGGTAAGTATATATTTTTTAAGTTTCATGGTATTTAGTTTTTTTGCTCCCCCTTCACTATTGTTAAAGATAAAGACAGAGTCAGGAATATAGAAATATGGATAAACGGTATACCAGAAATATACAGAATCAAATACAAGCCAAGGTCAATATCAAAATATATCAAGAGAGGATTAGTATAAGCACTAACATGTATCAGGGCAGAAACCACAATAGGGCAATTAACAATAACCCAAATTAACATTACAGGATTTTCTGGCGTATAAGATGACTTTTTAACCCTGGAAACTCTTCTCCAAAGTCGGGGGTCGTCTTATACGCCGGGTATAGGGTCTATATAGCTGCCGGGGGCACCCTGCGCCCCCATCGCCAGCCCTTCTAATGCTGCAGCCGCCTGAGCGCTCTATAGAGAGCGCTCAGACGGCTGCCGCACTGCCTCTCTTCTCACCTCCCCTTCCCTGTGCAGAGTGGGTGGCCGAGCTCCTCTTCGTCCTGTCAGTCCCGGGTACCGCGCGGTACAGGAGATTCAGTTACCTGTTCCCGGCCGGATTGAAAGGAAGTGCACACTGAGCTCGGCCACCCACTCTGCACAGGGAAGGGGAGGTGAGAAGAACGTAGGGAGGATTGGGGGGGGGGAGTAAAAAGAATGGAGGGGGGGAGTAAAAAGAATATATCGCAATTAGCCTCCTGTGTGCTAGACCAGCAGGCATGGATTATATGCCCAAACAGCCTGGCACATACCTGGGCTTTAAATGCTATTTCAGATTATCATTATTTAATGTCTTGCTGTGTAGCTCTGTCTGCTCACTGTACATCATGGCTAATTTTTATTTGGTGTGCATTGGAAGAGGGGTAGTCTTATACGGCGAGTATATCCCAAATTCTATATTTTAACTGGAAAAGTTGGGGGTCGTCTTATACGCCCAGTCGTCTTATACTCCGGAAAATACGGTATATATGTTAACATACTTTCTGATTGGTTCACGTCCTCTCTGTGACTCCAAAATGATTGAATATGGGGTTGCCAAGATGATGTGGTCACTTTTAGGGCAGGCGTGAAGTCACATTTTGAATAGATAAAAGACACGCCATGCAAGCACCATTCAGCCGACGTGAGCCAGCAGAGGGAACTGTTTGTGGCCTGACAAGGGGAACAGCACTGGCGCCAGTAGCAGGTTAGTCCCTTACAAATATACGGCAAGGACATTGGACATGTCATTTAGAATAGATCATTCTTGGCAGATGAGAGCAAAAAGAGTGAAGGTGATCAGGACAGAAGGAGTTCCAGTACAGGAAAGTCAAATAGGAGATGAAGAGAACAGCTAAAAGTATCTGAGGGTACCACAAGCACATGGTAACTATGAGGAAGAGGCAAGGAGGATAGCAACATCAAAGTATCTCTAGAGAGTCAGACAGGTCCTGAAGTACCAGCTTAATGGCAAAAACAAGATCCAAGCCATCATATGCCCTACCAGTCATCATGCATACAGCTGGAATAATAACCTTGCCAAGAAAAGAGCTGTCGACTATGGAGTTCACGACCTGGAAATGACTCACTATGAATGGAAATCCAGCATCCACAGACTCTGCACACCAGCTGGAAGGAAGGAGGTTGGACCCTGATGAGTGTCAAGGCCACATTCTTGGATGAAACACAGGGCATATATAAGTACATCATGAAGATGGCTCCCAAATATTAATTTCTAAGGGACTACCTGAGACAACAACAGATTGAGGAGGCAGAAAAGGAGGAAATTCCACAGAAAGACAAATGTGTACCACCAACATATAGTGGATGTGGCTAACAATACAAAATCCTGCCAGTGGTTGGAAAATTCAGGACTGAAAGACAGTACTGAGGAACTAATCCTAGCAGCACAGGAACATGCACCAGATCAATATAAGCAGGGGTCTACCACACTAGACAGGATCCAAGGTGCAGACTGTGCAAAGAGCCTTCTGAGACAATTGGCACATCATAGCCGGGTGCAAGAGGTTAGCATATACTGAGAGGCACCCAAGTTTCTGGAATTGTGTACTAAAATATCTGCACAGTATATGGGTTTGTTCTGCAAAGTCCAGATGGGAGACATCATAAAAGGTAGTTGAGAATGGCAGGGCTAAGATTCTGTGCACATTTCATATCAATACAAGCAAGTCTGTAGTGGCCAATCGTGGTGGTAAACATGGAACGGAAGACTGCAGTGGTGGTGGATGTGGCAATACCCAGAGACCATAACATCAGGAAGAAGAAACATGAAAAGGTGGGCAAATACCAAGGACCGACAGAGTAGATAGAAAGGATGTGATAAGTAAAGGCGGTAGTAGTCCCAAATGTGATAGGAGCACTCAGGCTGACACCCCCAAGTTAGAAGAGTGGCTTTAGGAGATCCCGGGTGCGGCATCTGAGATTGCTGTCCAAAAGAGTGCAGTTCGGGGCGGGGCCGGGCCGCCAGGCTGCATGGCAGCAGAACCACATGTCTCCCAGGCTGAGCCCAGGAAAACGGCTAAAAAACAGCACACAGAATACAATAAAGCTGGATTCATCTACATACTGATGAAGAGGAACACATAAGCTATCCGAAGATACCACACTGAACCCGGTGATGGGAACATTGAGTCTCCTAAACCGGGCCTACACGCCATAATGAGCCTGGACATGCAAGACACCTGTAGGCGCACAGATAGCGGCCCAACAGGCCGGGGAAGACTGACACCCGGCAATTCTTCACTGAGGACAGCAAAGCCACAAGGGGTGACCCGGCCCTGCTTCCCCCCCCCGGCCGGTGGGGGTAATCCCGGCCACATGGGGACGACATACTCCAGGGCGGAAGAAACCGCATGGGGCCAACACCGATCCCCTAAACAGGCAAAGGCCACCAGACTGGGGCCCGCCTGCAGACTTACTCCAAAAGAGACGGAACACAGAGGACTAAACAAGGGAGACTGACTGAGGCACCTCGTACAGGCCCTGGCGGTGCCGGGCGCCGGACAGACCCCCCACGCTGAGCTCCCGACCACTAGTGGGGCGGGCATCTGAGCCTCTGGGTCTGTGGGGTCCCCGGAGAGCTTTTGTCCCTGATGCCGCGAGCCCGGTGGGGCAGGACCAACGCTGCCCTCCCGACGGACCGGTGGTCGGGGGGGATAGCCACCAGCTCCAAATATGTGGCCGGCACCGGGTGAGACAGCAGAGTGCGCGCTCGAAGTGGACTCACGTGTAGCTGGGGAGGTGCAGGGAGCAGACGACCCGCGGATTTTGTGGTTGGGTCCAAAGGACGGTTCATGCTCCTGAGTGCCCACAGTGCAGCGGAGGGCCCAGCTGGCGGGCGGGGGCCGGCTGGGGGAGGACGAAAGGAGGCCTGGCGACCCAGGGACAATATGATGGAGACGCAGTGAGAGACTCCTCACAGACGGCCATGCAGGCCGACATGATGATTCAGCAAGGCATAAGTTACCTCATCAAGATGTGCTTTCTTACCTCCATATATGAACACTGCATCAGCTCCCATATCACTAGGGAACTAATGGAACATGCAGGACTCTAGCTTAAAAATGTGTAAGCTAGGTCTAGGCTCATACCCTTTATTACTGCTTAACGATATACTGCTCCTTAGTTCATACATACTCAGCTCAGTTTAAAAACGAATATGTCAAAAGTCTAACAGTTTTTATTTTAGTTATTCATTTATTGTTAGTTTCAATTTATATACATTGGTTCCACAGCATGCCTATGGTGCAATTAATAAGTCACTATTATAATGCTAATAGATAAGATTTATTATCGCCTGACTAGTGCAATACCTCTGCCATTTAAGCTTACCACACCGTACGATTAAGCAATTATTTGAGTTTGTGTGACACATACATATAATTTTTTTTTTGTTTGTTTGTTTGTTGGGGGGGGATTTTTTATTTATTTATTTTTTTTTCCTCTTCTTCACATTTACAGTATATTTAGCAATGGTATACACCTGATTGTGGCATTATATACTAAATATTTACATAGGTGCACCCTGGCCTACAACTGAATATGACAAAAGAAGGCAATACGTGGTGACTACATTAGATATCGTTAAATTTATATCGTTTGATATTATTGAATGTTATTTAAGGTTTCCGTTCAATTCGCAAGAAAACTTGATTACCAGTGGCTAAAAATTGGCTCACAAAGTGACCAGCAGCGCATGAACACAGCACTGAACTTAAATGCTTAGGTAGGGTCGACGACTGACAGCCTGTAAAATCATACTGGACCTCTGCGTAGGCCCCAGCTTATTGCTTAATTACTTTTTAGCACAATGAACCTCTGCGCAGGCAACACTGCAGTAGCACACACCTGCTCCGCCGTAGGATATTCGATAAGAGGCTTATTAAAATAACACCCTAGGCCATAACATATGCCATACTGCCGCATACCGCCTCACTGAGACACAAGCAGCCACATGCCGCTCGCACCCACAGTGAACATACATTAAGCGCTGTTTAAAACAGTTAGCGCATACATCTGGCTTGAGAAGAGCCCGCTTAACACTCAGGGACCTGAACATAACTGCAACTTATTAAGAGATATACATCCCATCTTTACCGTGCATTTAAAAACGAATATACTCCTTATGTTGAAAGTTTGAAAGCTATTATTTTTAATTTTTGTATATCTACTTCATAGCATACCTATTGTGCAAATAAGGAAACAGTGTCATAATGTCAACAAATATGATCTAGCATGGCAACACAATGCCAGACAAATGCACCGCTTTAGCCACAAAAGTGATAAAGTTCACATGTTAATACAGAGTACAGCATATTTAACAGCATGTTTAATAATGTGGTAGTATGTATATCCTTTTACCAGAACTGCATCGATAACACAGGCCTACATCAGGCTGTGCATTATGAGAGGATTGTTTTGTCTTGACAGACCATTAGCCAGTATAAAAATCCAGCCACATGTGTTGCATAGTTCGGTGCAGAGTACATATAAGATAACTTTGAGCGGTGAGCACTAGATACCAAATGAAAAGGGTAACACATTATAAAGCTATAACATGATATGATAAACTTGTACACATAACTACTCATGTTTTTCCATAAAAAGTGCATTGTTTACGCTTTATCCCCTGCGTGGGAAAACTGCTTATTGTGTTGACCTCAATAAAAACAGATTTAATACAAAAGAGTGCAGTTCTAGGTACAACTAAGATACTGTGCAGAAGATTGAGGACCAGAGAGTGAGTACACCCCTCACATTTTTGTAAATATTTCATTATATCTTTTCATGTGACAACACTGAAGAAATGACACTCTGCTACAATGTAAAGTATTAAGTGTACGGCCTGTATAACAGTGTAAATTAGCTGTCCCCTCAAAATAACTCAACACACAGCCATTAATGCTAAAGTGTTAATTTTCATATAGACAGCAACATCCCCCCAATTAAAAAAAAAAAAAAAAAATACATATTATATATATATATATTGTAATTCTACATAGATGGATATTTGTTGTTTCTTTCTAGTATTTCAAATTTAATTAAGGAATCTTTAAATCTCTGGGGATGAAAACTCGTTGCTTGGAGTAACGTGTTCCTATCGGTATCTTTCTGATACGTATATCCTAAAGTGTTCATTTTCTTTTAGACAGTAAAAAAATAATACACACACACACATATATATATATATATATATATATATATATTAAAAAAAAATTCTAGATAGATATATATTTGTTGTTTCTTTTTAGTATTTCCAATTTCCCTGTGCAATTATTTAAACTAGATGGTTTGCCAGGTAGAATTTTAAGAGGAAAAAAAAATGCCATGACTACTTAATCTGTCCCTACTGGTTTAGGGGAAAAAAAAACTAAGTAGAGCAATTTCCATAATTAGCGAATGTGATTAATAAGACAGTTCCATTCTGGCCATTATGTCTATAAATTAGTCTTGACAACACTGCAGTATGCGGTGGAAATGCTTTTAGATTTGTGTTAAGCTAAATGTGAAAACATCCCTAAGTGTGTTTCTTTTTAAATTAGTCTTCACGAATCAAGACTTTGACTGACTGGTCACTGCAATTTGCTGGGAACATTTTAATTTGTTTACATGATATTCCTTAAATACTTTGCTTACCTAGGCAAGACTGATTTTCAAAACCACAGTAGTTTTAGAATTTGAGAATTAAGGGCTAAGAGTATAACATTTAGGAAGAAGTTTGTTTATACGATTTTGGTAATTCTAAGTAATGTCATTTGTGTAGGAGAGTATATGAGCACATATTTTTGAGTATATTGTGAGTAGGCTCAGTTAGGGAGGTCTCTTAATTCCCCAGCTAGTCTATAGTTGTGAAGTTATAGCCATGCCTTAAGCCATCGGCCCATAATGCTTTGTTCAGGAGCAAAGGATGCTATATGTAAAAACAGTTAATTGATTATCACTATGAACTAGCTCCCACCAGACCAAGTGGAGTCCCAGGTATACATTTACACCTGGTGTGCAAACTCTGTATTTCCCTAGCCCAGTAAAGTTTTCCTGCATTCGGTAGTTGGATCTACAGAACACTGACCACCCCCCTGGCTCATTAAACTTCAAAGTAACCACAAGATTAGGTGCTCTCCTCGGGCAGCCGTCGTTCAACACATGTGCGCTTATCTCACGAAAGCAGGCAGCGGGACTTGGTCGGTGAGGAACAATAAGTCGGACACTCAAGCTCGCGAACACCGGTGATTTTATACAAACACCTGCATCTATTCTTGACAAGCCAGGAGAGTGCTATTCTGTGAAAAGGTACGCACAAACATGAGGAACAATCGCTACCTACCTTAGTTTGAGACTCCTGAAAGTGACCGACCGCTATTACTTTTCTCATGGAACTATTTTGGGCAGACGCCACGTGTGCGTTCAGTCAAAACTTTATCCCTGTGGCGATTCGGCTGTATTTGTGGGATCTGAGCGCTATTTGGACACGCTGGGCGATCGGATCCAGGCTATCAAGGGATATAGGATTGATTGGGGTCTCTATTAATATTATGTATATTTTATGATGTTTTATATTTTATCTTTTGTACCTCTAGTGCCTGGGATATAATTAGGTTAAGCAAAGAACACTCATTTATCTCACAGAGACTCCTGGGTGTGTTTTACCATACTTTTGCTTGAGACACAATGCTGGAGGTCTGTGTATAAAACATTCCAGTTGTACCCCTCAAGTCTTGACTGATGTTTGGGTATGCCAGGGCTTGACAATTTTGCTTTGAATCTAGGAGCCAGCTTAAAAAGTTAGGAACCAGATTTTAAAATACAATTCTTAAAGGGACACTATAGTCACCAGGACCACTACAGCTTAATGTAGAGGTTCTGGTGTCTATAGCCTGCCACTGCAGATTATTCAATGTAAACACTGCCTTTTGAGAAAAAGGCAGGGTTTACATTGCTTCCTTGTGACACCTCTAGTGACAGTCACTCAGACGGTCACTAGAGATGCCTCCACAAGAGGTACCACAGTGTGCAGCACCTACATTCAGCGTCTCCATGCTCTGCATGGAGGCGCTGAACATTCCCTATAGAGATGCATTGATTCAATGCATCTCTATCAGGAGATGCTGATTGGTGCAGTATTTTGCAGTCAATCCTATGGCAAAACATTTAATTGGCTGAGATCATCAAGCTTGATAATATCAGCCATAGAGGCAGGGCCAGTGGAGGGGAGACCAGCACGGCATAAGGGAAAAAAAGGTGAGTAAAAACATTGTGAACGGAAGGGGTCTGGTCACCTAAAACACACACACACCATGAAAGACACATACAATAACACTGACAAACTCATGCATTCACACAGACACCATGACAGACAGACACACACACACACACACACTATGACAGATCCATACACTCACACATTATTGCTTAATTTAATACCTTCGGTCCAGTGGGAGACAGGCTGGGGGATTATGGAGGCTGACGGCATGCTGGTGGTCATGGTTGCAAGCAGCATGCTGGGGTATTATGGAGGCTGTCAGCAAGCTGGGGAGTCGTGGAGGCGTTGGCCGGAACATGATGTCATTTGCCGTCCCCGGTCTCATTAAGTGGCGTGCGGGGGAGCAGAGCAGGGACATTACAGCTCCCTTGCTGCCCTCCTACTATTCGAGGAGCATGCCAACCACCTCCATGACCCCCCAGCTTGATGATGACCACATACCCACCTCGGAGGTGAGGGGCTCACATATCCTAGGTGCCAAGGCAAAAAAAGATCCAAAAGAAGGCAAAAAACCCAGTCTGAAGCACATCTAATTGTGCAATAAAATAGGAAAAAAAATGTCTTATTGACCCTAAAATGGCAGTCAGATAACTCCGTGGATCAAGAAGCTATTACCCCACTAGTTAAACATTATATCCCTGCATATTGTGCTTTTGCAAGTATTGTTGTTTAAACATCTGTATAGACTCTGTTAACATCTTCAGGCACATAATTCAACATCCTTATTGTTCTTACGGTAAAAAAAAAAAAAAAAAACCTTTCCTTTGCCTTAGAATAAATCTCTTTTCTTCCAGTCTAAATGTGAGACCTCATATCCTATGTATAGTCCTATTTATGAACAGATTTCTAGACAATGGTTTGTATTGGCCTGAAATGTATTTGTATAATGCTATCATATACCCTCTGAGATGCTGTTTTTCCAAACTAGAAAGATTTAAATTTGTGAACCTTTCTTCATAACTAAAATGCTCCATTCTTTTTATCAATTTTATGGACCAACTCTGCACTTTTTTTAGTGCCATCATATCCTTCTTTAGGACAGGTGCCCAAAATTGCACAGCATATCCAAGGTGTGGTCTTACCAGTGATTTATAAAGAGGCAAACACTATATTTTCATCCTGAAAATTAATACCACTATTTATACATGTCAATACCTTATTGGCCTTAGCAACTACAGATTTACATTGCATATAGTTGCCTAGTTTATTATATAACAGATAATGTACAGATAATGTACTAGCGCTAATATTTAGTGATAATTAATTACCATATATACTCGAGTATAAGCCGAGTTTTTCAGCAAATTTTTTGTGCTGAAAAAGCCCCCCCCGGCTGATACTCAAGTCAGTGTCTGTATTATGGCAACTTACATTGCCATAATACAGACCAGGACCGCCAGGCTAATTATAAACCCGGTGGTCCTGGGGGGTGTGGGGGAGGCAGCAAGCTGTAACTTAACTTTCCTGCAGCTCCCCAGTGTAAATCTTGCAAGACCTGTGACCTGCGGCACTCAGTCTGCGAGATTTACATTGGAGGAGCTGCAGGAAAGGTAAGTAACAGCTTGCTGCCGGCTTCCCCCACTGCTCAGCCCATGCCACTGGACCACCAGGGATTAACATACCCCTCTCCCTGGCCAGGTAACAAGCAGGGAGGGGAGACCAATAAGAAATTAAATATTACAATAATAATATTAAAATATTAAAAATGCCCTCCCCCCACCCAGTTTACACACACTACACAAACACACACACACTCTGCATCATATACACACAAACACACACTGTGCATTATATACACACACACTGCATTCACACACACACTGCATTCATTATATACACACACTACACAAACACTGCATTCATTATATACACACACTACACAAACACACACACACTCTGCATTCATTATATACACACACTACACAAACACTGCATTCATTATATACACACACACACTACACAAACACACACACACTCTGCATTATTATGTACACACTACACAAACACACACACACACTCTGCATTCATTATATACACACACACTGTACAAACACACACACACTGCATTCATTATATACACACACTACACAAACACTGCATTCATTATATACACACACTACACAAACACACACACTCTGCATTCATTATATACACACACTACACAAACACCCACACACAGCATTTATTATATACACACACTACACAAACACACACTCTGCATTCATTATATACACACACT